ACCTTGCACCATGACATTAGCATGAGGAGCTCGTGGCATTTTGCTGGAAGTGGTGTCCTGCTGTCAAGCTTACCAGGTCCTCGGTGTGAGGGAAACGAACCGTCGACCAACACAAACTCGTAGCTCGCATCGACTGACCTCATCAAACCGACAAGTTGCGTCTCAAGGATTTTGGCAGAGCTGCCAACGCCATGCAATGCAAGAATTCTCATATTTGACAGCAGTGATTCGAAGCAAAAAAACATGCAGGTCGCATTCGCAATCCGCCTGCATGAGAGGCAAATACAAACCTTCTTATTGGGGAAGTTTTATTCCGAACACGTGGCAAACTTGTTGCTCAAGTTGGTGTGGCGAGGTTCGGTTGGCATCTCAAGCGAGTTCGGGCGTCCAAATCGGGTAGTTTATATACATTTCGACGTTTTCGGCGATGGCCGACGGTGGCATTTTCGTCTCAAGACGCCGGAACTTTGTCTCTACCAGCAATAAGTGATGTCCGGGCAATAATATGCGGCTCTGTAGCTTGATGATACAGGTACGTCAATGTACTGTGCTGATGACTTGGTTGACAGTGATGGTAATCTCATCAGATCTGAATGTTACCAGGGCTCTCAGCTCTTCTTACCTGGTGCAGCAGACCGCACCAACCACTTGTTTTCAACCAATCAGCAACAACTAACAAGAACCACCATGAGACCTTCCAAAGAACAAGAACCAATTGCCATTATTGGCACCGGGTGTCGTCTACCTGGCAAGACAACGTCGTTGGGCAGGCTATGGGACATGATCAGTCATGGAAAAAGTGGCCATGATAAAGTTCCACCCTCGCGATGGGACGCTGATACATGGTACCATCCTGACCCTGATCGTAAAGGATCTGTACGTAAATACTCGACGTTGTTTTCGTGGCTTACACTAACAAATTTGATTCCGTAGATCAGTGTGAAGCACGGCTACTTTCTTGATGAGGATATTTCTCTTTTTGACGCCCCATTCTTCTCTATGACAGCCAAAGAAGCTGCTGGAATGGACCCTATGAAAAGACTACTATTAGAAGTCAGTTTTGAAGGGTTTGAAAATGGTACGATAAGATTCAAATATTCTTTGCTTCATGTTCCTTTACTAATGTGTGCCGATCAAAGCTGGTATTCCAGTGGATACTCTCATGAACTCCCAGACGGGTGTTTATGTGGGATGTATGACCAACGACTACGAGCAGCTATCGACCCATGAGATCTACGATGTCGGAGATGTTGCAGCTTCGGGGTTGAGCGAGGCCATGATCGCTAATAGAGTCTCGTGGTTTTTTGGTCTCCGGGGACCCAGCTTGACACTTGACACAGCATGCTCGTCCAGTCTTTATGCCCTTCACTTGGCATGCCAATCCTTAAAACTTGGCGAAATCAATATGGTGCGTACGAAAAGGACTGCATGATAAGACTTCGGGTGGGAATCAACTAACTCTATGGCAGGGGCTTGTTGCAGGTGTCAACCTGATCTTGCACCCAAACTTCATGCATCAACTTTCTTCAATGCACATGCTTAGCCCCGAGGGACTTTCTCACTCTTTTGACCACAGAGCTAATGGCTATGGGCGTGGAGAAGGCGTCGGTTGCTTGATTGTCAAGAGGTTAAGAGATGCGCTGAGAGATGGCGACACGATTCGAGCAATAATTCGTGGCACAGGGGTCAACGCAGATGGCAAGACGCCTGGAATCACACAACCAAGCTCCGATGCACAAGCCGAGCTTATAAGGAGCACATACAGTTCTGCAGGCTTGTCATTTGCCGACACTCAATACTTTGAGGCGCATGGCACAGGGACTCCTCTTGGTGTGCGTATTAGACATTATCTCGATGCAAAAAGCTTCCGCTAACTTGTGTAAGGACCCCATTGAGCTTTCAGCCATAGGAGCAACCATTGGAGCCGGGCGTACGGCTGAATCTGGCCCGCTATATGTTGGCAGTATCAAAGCAAATGTTGGACACACCGAGGGATGCTCAGGTCTAGCTGGTGTTCTCAAGTCAATATTGTGCTTGGAAAAGGGCATACTTGTTCCTACAGCGGGTATCGAGAAACCAAATCCAAAGCTGAAGCTTTCTGATTGGAATCTTGCCCTACCTACGGAGAACATGGCATGGCCAACCAAGGGTCAACGTCGCATCAGCGTCAACTCGTTCGGTTTTGGAGGCGCTAACGCCCACGTCATCCTGGACGACGCGTACAACTACCTTCGCAGTCACAATCTGTCGGGGAATCACAAAACAAGCACCTATGAAGACGATTCTTCAGAGTCTGGCATTAGCATTGGATCCGACTCCCCCAGAGAAGACGCTAGCAAAAGGCTCTTTGTTTTCAGTGCGAAGGACCAGAACGGCATTGAAAGATTTGTACCACTTTATGTCGACCTCTTTTCAAACAAAGAGGCCACTTCGAGTCCCAGATTCATCAGCGATATTGCTTACACCCTCTCGGCGCGAAGATCCCATTTCGAGTACCGCAGTTTTGCCATCGCCGAGTCGGTGTCGGATCTTCAACAGCAAATGTCAAAGGGGCTTCTGAAATTTAAGAGAGCAGCTAAGCACGACAATCCAATTTTCATCTTTACTGGCCAAGGGGCTCAATGGCCGGCCATGGGCAGAGAGCTTCTTAACAACAATGTCTTCCGAGACAGCATCCACAAGTCTCAGGCTCTTCTGGAACATTACGGATGCCCTTGGGATCTAGTTGACGAGCTCTCTAAGACCTCAGACTCGAATGTCGATCTGCCACAGTACAGTCAGGTGCTATGCACTGTTTTGCAGATCGCCTTGGTTGATTTGCTCCGGTATTGGGGAGTTACACCAAAAGCTGTTGTCGGCCACTCGAGTGGTGAAATTGGTAAGACTTTGCTCATGCATGATATTTCTGTGGATTCTTAACTGTTTCTTAGGAGCAGCATATGCGGCAGGCTTGCTATCACGCTGCAACGCCGTCAAGATTGCCTATCTTCGAGGTGTGTGCTCAGCTAAAGTCGCGGGGATCGTCAGCCCACAAGTAGGTGCTATGCTCGCAGCTGGTTTGTCCGAGAAGGACGCAGAAATCTACCTCGCTCAGATTCCCCATCGATCAGCTGTGGTTGCGTGTGTCAACAGTCCCTCCAGCGTAACGTTGTCGGGAGATTATTCTTCGATTTCTAAGCTGTGCGAGCTCATCTCAGCGGATGGAAAGTTCACAAGAATGCTTCGCGTCCAGACCGCATACCATTCTCCCCATATGGAGAATGTGGCTCAGGAGTATTTCGATCGGATGGGAGTAATTATTCCACTCTGTCAACAGGACCAAGTCGCGCCGATGTTCTCTTCTGTTACCGGAAAACCCGTATCATCGGGAGATCTGGATGGAAACTACTGGATGAGGAACATGTGCGAACAAGTCCGGTTTTCTCAGGCCATGAGTAATCTTCTAGAGCTTGCAACGGATGCATCGCGAGGACGCGGTCATGGTCGGACTGCTTGGAGCGCCTTTATCGAAATTGGTCCTCATGGAGCCCTGCAAAGTCCTGTTGCGGAAATTGTCAAATCCAGTCAGAGCAAAGCTGCCAAGGAGGCGCCTTACCTTTCGGCCATCACTCGCCAAAAGGACGCTGAAATGACCACCATGCAACTTGCCGGCCAGCTCTGGGCTTCGGGGCATGGGGTCCAACTTTCCAAAGTCAACGGTCTTTCGTCTGAACCACCGCCAGTGGCACTCCCAGACATTCCATCATATCCTTGGAATCACAACAAGGGGTATTGGCACGAGTCGGCGGCCACCCGGTCAAATAGGTTTCCGAGTAGTCCACGAACAGATCTTTTGGGGGTTCCAGTCGACCTGCAAAACCCCATGGAGCCCAGGTGGCGAAACTTTTTGAGAATCTCCGAGAATCCATGGATTGAAGATCACAAGATCACGGCAACCATGCTGTATCCGGCTGCGGGCATGATTGTGATGGCCATTGAGGCTGCTCGCCAACTGATAGATTCAAAGTACACGCCCAAGGGGATTATTCTGCAGAACCTCAAATTCGAACGCGGTCTAGTAATACCGTCAAGAGACCAAGCCGTGCAAACAGAAATCAGCCTTCGGCCCGGCGAAACATCGCCCGACACTTGGGATTTCGCCGTGTACTCTACCTCCACAACAGGGTCTTGGACGAGGAACTGTCACGGATCGCTTACTCTAGCGTACGATGAAAAATATCGCATGGATTCCGAGAAAGAGTGGGATAGCTTGATCTCTACTTGGAAGGAAGTCACGACGAAAACCTCGAAGGATATTGATATTGACTCTTTATACAACGACCTCGAAGCTGTAGGCATTGAATATGGGCCAACATTTCGAAATGTTTTTCAAGCGGCCGCTAACCCCGGCGAGTACTGCGCCTATGGCTCAGTCCGCATCCCAGACACCAAATCATCAATGCCTTCCAACTTTGAGTACCCTCATCTCATTCACCCAGCTACCATGGACGCCATTTTCCATCTCCTTTTCATCGCATTCTCTGACGGTAAGCCGCTAAAAGAGGCGGCGGTGCCTTACACACTTGAACAAATGTACATCTCTACAGACTTGCCGCAGGGTGAGGGTAGTGTCTACACCGGGTTTGCCAAGCGCTTGCGCATCAATGGCCGCGAGACTGCTGGAGACTTGGTCGTTTCAGACGAAGCCTGGAACAGTCCTAAATTGGTAGTTCGAAACTTCGCATTGAGGCAAGTGACCTCCTTGCAAGACTCGCCGTCCACCAACGAGGGAACGGCAAGCAAAGTCTCCGCCAAAATTCAGTGGAAGGAAGATTTTGAGTTCATCCGCGCAACTGAGACTCTACTGAGATCGAACACAGAGCGTTGGGTTCAGGAGGCTTTCCGAGAGACGGCTATCTTGAGCGTATTGTTTCCGTTTTTGGAAATATTATATCACAAGCTGCGGAATTACGAAGCTCTCATTGTAGTCACCGATGCAACAAAAATCTCACAACAAATGTTGCAAAACTTGCTGCTCCTTTTCGAATCTACCAAGGACAGCGAAGATAAAAGTCCCTTCCAAGTTTCACTCGTTGCGGCGACGGAAGAAGTCAGGGAATTGACTGAGTCATTACTATTGAACTCTCGGCTTTCTGTGGGCATCAAGATGTGGCACATACATGACAAGAAATTGCCATTTTCCGGGCAGACTTTTGATTTGGTCCTGATTTTGGACGCCTCTGGCCACACAATGAGAGACTTTTCAGCTCTTTCTCATCTGTGTGAACTTACTCGCTCAAATGGTCACTTGGGGGTACTTGGGCTGTCTCTAGTCTCTCCAGAGGAAGAGCGTAAAGTCCAAGAAGTCCTTGCATCGTCTGGATTGATCACATGGGCAAACGAGAGACAGCAGGGAACCCGAGAAACACTCCTTCTGGCTCACAAGCGAACGGCAACCGACAACTTGAAAATGCCTGAAGACGTTTACATCATTCAACCAATTCAGCCGTCTAAGCAGTCATTGGCATTAGTAAAGAAGCTACTTGACAACTTACGAATGCTTGGGTGTCAGCCTCATCTAACAACTCTGGATGACGTCGATCAGCTCCAAGGCGGCTATGTCATATCACTACTCGAGGCTGAGTCGCCATTTGTCTCTGGATGGACTGAAGAAGAGTTTACTCGATTCAAACATCTCGTATCCAGGGTCAAGCATCTACTTTGGATCACGAGAGGCGGTCTCATGCGGAACTGGGACGGTGGCCTGCAGTTCGCACCATCTCAAGGGCTTTTGCGCGTTATGCGCACTGAGTATTCGCAGATTACACTGCCCCACCTTGATCTGAGCAGGGAAATTGACTTGGGGTCAGAGTCAACTGTCAATGTGATCATGGACATTTGGCTTTCTTCCACGCAGAGCGCCTCACAGTTAATGGAGCTAGAATACGCTGAGATGAATGGAACTATCTATGTGCCCAGGTTTGTCGAAGACAAGGGCATCGATACAGACCTTGCCCCCAGCGGTGAAAACCTCAAACCGATCAAGGGAGCCTTGCGCAGGGCGGATCCCCACGCACTGGTGCAAGACAACGGCTGCTTCGTCTGGATTGAGAACCATGAAGGATGTGCACCGCTGCGCAAGCAAGAAATCCAAGTCGAAGTGGAATATGCGGCCTTGAAAATTGATGCAGCGGAAGATTCAGGTGGACAGCCTAAAGGCATGATATCTACTTCTGCTGTTGGAGTTGTTGCAGCAACTTCACGTGAAGTCGTGAACTTTCAGGCTGGCCAGCGTGTGATGACGTTACAGTCCGGCCCTTGCCGAACCAGAGTTCAAGTTCACGAGTCTTTTGTTCGACAGCTTCCTCAAGAACTCGGTTACCAGGAAGCATTGTCAACAATTCCTGCACTGGTCGCAGCCCAATATGCGTTGCTCGAGGTGGCAAGGGTAGAATGCGGCCAGATGGTTATCATTCATGGAGTGGATTCACCTATCGGCCAGGTAGCTGTCCAACTCGCGACTCTGGTTGGCGCAGAGGTTTACGCCGTCCCCAGTGGCTCTTCAAGTAAACAGGAAATCTGCCAGAAACTACGGCTTTGTGAGGACAGAGTCTTTGAATACATCTCGAGCGATTGCCGCACAGCTATTATGCAGCATACGAATGGGCTAGGAGCGGATGTGGTTCTTTGTTGCGGCAAAACCTCCTCCTCGGCAGCTTTTGAGTGCTTGTCAGAGTTTGGTGTCTTCGTCGATTTTCGCGGATATTTCAATCCAGGGCTCACAAGAACCGACATCAATCGGAACGTCACCGTCCTCAGGGCGGACCCATCCCGATTGTTCCAAGCCAAGCCTGCCCTGGCAAAGCGCCTATTCCATGAAGCATTCGATATGGTTGAGAATGGGAGAATTATGCCAATTACACCATGTGAGGTCGCCGCCGTCTCGGAACTGAGCAATCCAAGGTCGAAAAATAGCGCTCGTGAACTCATTCTTCGGTTTGACTACGATTCGAGTGTTCTGATTCGTCCTTCTCGGCCAGCTGAACTTCAACTAGACTCAGAAGCAACGTATGTACTCGCTGGTGGCCTTGGTGCCTTGGGATTGCGAATTGCGGAAATGATGTTCCGGCATGGTGCCGGTCACGTCGTTTTTCTGTCTCGATCGGGGGGCGAGAAGAATCTGAGAGACTTGGACTCCTTTCGTGAACGTGGGCTGGAAGTGGATGCGTTCAAGTGCGATATTTCAAACGCATCACAAGTCGAGTGTGCAGTTCAAGGATTGGTAGACCAAGGAAGAAACATCAAAGGCGTTGTTCAATGTGCAATGGTGCTGGAGGTAGGGCCACCGGGTTTCTGCAGCTTTCAGTTGAGTATACTAACATTGCGGCTTGCAGGATGCTATCTTCGAAAACATGACTTACGATCAATGGCAAAAGACAACTAAGCCCAAGATTCAGGGAACAATGAATCTACATAACTTCATGCCTACGAATGTCGACTTTTTTATTCTGCTTTCATCCATAACCTGTGTCATTGGTAATGCAGCGCAGTCGAACTACAGCGCCGGAAACACTTTTGAGGACGCCTTCGCACACTACCGTCAAAGTCAAGATCTCGCAGCTACTGCAATCGACGTTGGACTAGTCACTGACTCGGCCCACTTCACCGGAGATTTCGACATGGAGGCGTATCTTCAGATGTACGAGCATCGATGGGATGGCTTACAGACAACTCAAAAAGAATTGGACGTTGTGATAAGGGCAGCCATGCGAGGCCGCACCGCCGATGGTCAACCCATCGAACCACAAATCGTACTTGGACTAGGCAGCTCCATGCCATGTGGACCTTCAGCGGTGTCCTGGACTAGAGACGGCAAATTTAACCATCGAGTAAATCACGATTCGTCTTCGGTGTCAGGCATTACTGCGCATCAGCCACCAGCTGCAGAGAGAATTGCACAGGCACAGACTTTCGCTGATGCAGTGCTCGTCTTCGAACAAGTCCTCAAGACCTACGCTGCCCAAGCGATGGATGTTGCGCCTGACGATGTCGATGCTGAGAAATCGTTTTACGATTTTGGAGGTACGTCTCTCTCTATACTGTTCTCACTTGGCTCATGTTTGTGCGTCACTTCTTACTGACTCTGATCAGTCGACTCGCTCAAAGCTGTCGAACTTCGCAATCATATTTTCCGGGACTTGCAGAGCGACATGTCTGTGTTTGAATTACTGAGTCCATCACCTTTGTCAAAACTTGCGTCAGAAATCGCCAAGAAAAGCAAGCTTACTAGGCATGTTGTCGACAGGGGCGGGGGTGAGGGCCAATGATCAAGGAGCCGAGCAGGAACCGGTTTGCGACAGCTCTTCTGATTGTGTCTGACACTACTTTGTGCGAAGCTATTCATACTAGAGGGACTTTCAATAATATACTCTTCCTGCAAGAGAAAACGCCATCACCGCGCCAGGTGAGATGATGCTACTGGCAAGCGTGAGGGCACCTATCCTTAAGATGAATGAGTCCAATCCCGTTGCAAGCCAAGTGCTACGCTTGCGTAGTCGTTTGAAAAGGCGAGACGACCTGAAAACGAGGTCGGCAAAAGGAACCAAGGCTGCCGTGATGACGAAAATATCCATCTGCAGAAAGTCACGCGCCCCATCAGCAATGGCCATCGGACTACGCACGTCGAGACCTTCAGCCGGCAAAAATATTCGACGGACACCACCCTTCCCTGAACAAAACAGAGCCCAACCGTGTCCTATGGCTGCCGTCATACCCGAGAAAACTAGTGACGCCGCAACGTACGCTTTTGGCTTGGCTGACCCGCGGTTTCGAATCCTGGATTGAGGAATCTTTCCGTAAATCCAAATAAAAAGGGGATGCGCCAAGGCTTGTATGAGTGGAGCGAAGCGGTAGAATGCGATCAGCCCCTGTCTCTGATGGGTGGTACAACTTGGATTGAATGCCGGATAGAGTATGATTGCGGGAGTGATTGCACCCAGGAACGACGTCGCGAGTATTGAGAGAGCCTCCCTACCCTCAGTCGAACCAACATCTTCCTCCTCATCTGTCTTCTGGCCAACGTTTAGAAGTCGCTGGGCATGAGTGAAACACCAAAGAGGATACACAGCCGCCGCGCCCCAGGCCTGATTGAATGTGCCCCAAAATAAATACTCCCTACCATTCATCAGCGTTGATCTCTGTTAGAGATAGGACATGTATTTTTACCACGAAGCCCACCATGGTCTTTTACCCCGTCTCCATCCGAGCACCAACATGCAATGGGACATGGTCTGCATAGTAGTGAAAAGACTCACGAGCAGCATGCGGTCTGCTGATGAACCATTGCTGAGAATATTGTTGTAAAATATAACGGCCGGAATGAGAAATTGATCGAAAACGTACATGCCGGTGAAGTTGGTTCGAAGGAGGTCTCCATTTGGGAATGTGCCTGTCCGCTTGACAATTCCTACTGCTCCCGCTACGCCGCTGCGGATCATGCGTCCCCAAAGGGAGTCGTAGCCTACCAGACTAAGCCCAAGGAAGTAAGTGTGCATTTTGATGACGAGTATTCGGTTAACCTTCTGATCTGGCAATCTTGAACGGGGAGGCTTTCGTACTTATATACGAGGAGAGATGGCAGGCTTTAAGTTCATGGGCAAACTATCATGTAGGTCCTTCTATGTGAACGAGTCAGACTAATGGATAACTCACTGATGTGAGCTCTCTTCTTCAAAATCAAGACAGTTCCAATATCAGACGTTCGGCCTATTCATTTTACAGCTGAAGTATGAAGGATAATCCCAAACTTCACCGTAGTACTCCAACGTCTTCGTGAACTGCGCATACAAATAAAGATACCCGCTCATGCTTAGAACAGAAGCGATCAAAACTCCCATCCAAAAAGGTAACATACCCGACCAATCCGAATCAAAAAACCTTTGTCCGACGACCGTCTCTTCGGAAGCAGCATTGGTTTGAAGGAGCTTTTTGAACAGAAAACCAATCCCAAGCAAAGATATGCCCAAAACAAGGGCGCTTGAACCAAGACGATGAGATCCTGTTCTTTTGACCTGAGAGCGGTAAGTATCCCAGGCTTGGGTCAATTTGTCCTGGCCCTCATCATCCCTCTTTGCTCCGGGTTAGTAAAAAGATTGAACATGATGTATGATAGGTCTTGTTTACTTACATATCCCTCTAAAATACCGACTTGAAACCTATGCAATGTATTCCAGGCATCCTCAGAATGCCCTACATACTCGAAGCTCTCGGTGCCATCAGAACCCGCGACGTCTTTCAACACTTCTATGCCGCCTGGATGATCATCCACATAGCTAGTCACGTCATAGACTATGTAAAGTTAATGTTGATTTATATGACCGATGTCGACACCTACCTTTTCCACGAATTGAAACCCATAGATCACTCACGTCATGATGTTTTTCTAGTTGTGCTGGGGTATAGATCTTCATAGTGGCCGCAACTATGATAGCATGAATGTACTACTCTGCATGAAAACTTGTTTCCGTGTCCTGTACGGCGCTTCCATTTGTTTTTGACGAAACAATCTTTCTCTCGGCTTTGGTACTCGTCGTCATTTAACCCAGGATAGCCCAGACATCATCGGTTGTGAGAACGCAGCCGAAAAGTGGAGTACGGACCGGCCCAACACGGCAATTGCACGGACCGGTCCAAGCGGGACATCCCGATTCGGTCTCCCAGCTATGCGCTTTTGGACTTCTCCGAGAAAAGCGCAACTGGGGCATGTCCAAAGTTGGGTAGGGAGTGAGCGAGTCGTACTTCGGCCCTGCTTTGGTCGGGGAAACAAGAATCATCATGATATACACGATCAGTCGGCTAAGTTATGTTGAACAAAGGCAAATTGGGTCCATCAACAAACCCATCGTCATCGTTCAACCTGCATCACCAACCAAGGCTCAACTCTCTGTCGAGCAGCGATATGTTCCAACAACAGTTCACCATCGGCCATGGCTCTCTCGAGCGATGCCAGACACTCACTCTCCCAAGCATCAAGAGCATGCAAGAGCTCAAAGCCGGAATTGCCAAAGTCTTTTCCGTTTCCGATTCTAATTGTCAGTGAGCGAAGCTTCTGTCATGTGTGAATGTGGCTCATATCGACTCCAGCAATTTCTTTCTACAATCGTAGGAGCGTTCTTACATGTCTTGGTGAGATTGAAAAATGCGATGTCCCTGTTCAGATCAGAGTCAATGGTGAGATCGTCCGCGAACCAGCCGGGCCGGAGCCTCTCCCGTACGTCGGTAACCGGTACGAGCTGTATCCCGATCCTCTGGGAAACTATGACCGCCTTTTGGAGCGCTACGGCTCAGTCATCAAGACGGTGAACATGGGCACAACGATCTACCTCACCAATGACCCAGACGTGTCTCGAGAAGTCTTGCGTGAAGGGCAATTCTTCACTAAGACCACATCAGACCCTAGCCATCCGCTGTACTATATGCGAAACAACGAGGCACTATTTACCTGCGACAGCGATGCTCCAGCGTTCAAGCTAGCACATAAGTTTATCCCTCCCAGCTTAACGCCTAAAGGAGTGCGACACTATACACCGATCTTGCAGGCATGCGTCGACAGATCATACAAGGTGTTTGATGAGCTAGACGACAAGGAAATGGCTTTCAACGTATATCATTACACCTTTAAAATGGCGGGTGAAATTATCTGGAAAGTGATATTGGGTATGGACCTAGGCCATTTTGAGTCGATAGACTCAAAACCTCACGAAACCATACGATTGCTGGGCGAATATCTTTCTCTTATGAAGAAAACTTCGTTGAGAGGTAGCTGGTACGGTTATCTCCCATTCGGCACGCCAAAGCGACTTCGCCTCGTCAGGGAGCTGCTGTGGAGCGGTGTCGCAAGAGGCATCGAACAATCTGTGAAGACCTCTGGAGACTTGCCGATGAAAGACGCAGCACTTCGCGCAACATGTGTGGCAGATTATCTGCGGCGCGCCACTAATGAGAATGGAGACAAATTGCCTGAGGATTTGATGCTCAGCAACTGCGTCATTATGATTGGTGCTGGCTTCGTCACCACATCATCGCTACTAGCGTGGCTGATCTACGCCCTTGTCAAGTACCCTGGCAACCAGCAACGTCTGTTACAGGAACTCGTGGACAATGGTGCAGTGCCGCAGAAAGAGTGGTCTTATGACGAACTGACCGAGATGCCATTCTTGGACAAATTTGTGAAAGAAACCCAGAGAATGCACAATCCGTCTTTCCAAACTGCAAGAAATGCGCGGGAAGATGTCGTCCTACCGGGGGGTTATTTCCTTCCCAAAGGCTCAGTTATCATTCCTACCTTTCCATCACTGCACAAGAACGCGGCACATTGGGAAAATCCCTCACGTTTTGAACCAGATAGATGGGATACAGATGCCGTCAAGAGTCGACACAAAATGTCGTACACGCCATTCGCTGCAGGAACGCGTGGCTGCGTGGGATACAACCTAGCGTTGCTGGAAGTCAAGAGCGTCATGGCGAAGCTGGTATACCGATATCATTTTGAAGACGCTTCTACTGAGGCTGTTGTGTATGATCCGGAGTTTATAGTTATCAGGCCATTGAACTTCTACGCTCGGGCTATGAAGAGGACTTGGTGGCCGGAGACACATTCCAAATCGACAAAATAGATGTGGCATTGCGCCGCAACTACCCATGACTTCGATTTACTTTGCAACCCGTAGCCTTAAATGTGATGTCAACACAACCACTATCTGAACAAGTCTCACAAAAGCATCATGCTCCCTCCTCATTTTAAGTTTGGGGCCTGCAGATTCCCTTTTTGGATGTTCCGGGCGCAATTCTATGTATGAAGCTTGCTCGCGTCGAGCAGGTGACATATTAAGTCGTGCCCCCAAACACAGTTTTTCAAAAACTGTTTCCAACTGTTTGTCGGGTAGATGCACCGATTGAAGTGTAAAACTAGCCCTGATTATTCGCCATGGCAACTCACGCCTACACCACAGCCGCAGACCAGGTCAGCACCGGCCCAGCTTGCAAGTCACCCGACACAATTACAACTCAGCTGAGCGTTTTCGACCTGATTCCACCTAGAGTATACATCAAATTCATCATCTACCTGCCACTGCAACCCGGTGTCAGTTTTCAGAGAGCATTTTCTCATCTAGAAGCTGGACTCCGGGGCACGCTTCGACAATTTCCATTTTTGGATGGCCGCATCTTTCTCAGGGATAAACGCGAGCCCGACTGGCGGCCGGGGCATATCATTGTCTCATACGACCGAACAGCTGCAAGCAGTTCGCACGATTCTCCCCGGCAGCTAGTGTTCAAAGATCTCTCGCAGGTCCTCCCGGACTTCGAAGATCTCCGGGACGCCGGATTCGAGTTCTCTGCGTTCGACGATGAGTTAGTTCTGGCTGCACCATTTGTCCCAGATCTATCTGGCGGAGTGGATATTTTTCTTGCCCAGGCAAATTTTGTCAATGGCGGTTGCCTTCTTGCAACGGGGTTCCATCACTCAGCCAACGATGCCACCGGCATGGTCACGACAATGAGGGCATGGGCGGAGCACTGTCGCAACTTGAGCCAGCCTGCCGGAGACGTCTGCAGCTGGCTGGCGCTAGAAAGTTTCGATCGTACTCTCCTTGAGCGGCTGTGGAGCAGAACGCCTGCTAAGCCCGTCTCCGAGATCCTGCGCGACACGTGGAGCTTCCTCGGCTTTCAAGCCCCGGATGCGGAGGACGCAGGGACAGAGGATCCTGCCCAACCCCTAGCACAGAATCGGAAGATGGAGTCTAGCATCTTTTACATTTCGCCTGAAAACTTCAACAAGCTCAAAAGAGATGTTCTTGGGGAGACACAACACGGAACAGGCTTGTCGGCTAACGACGCCTTGCTCTCTCTCTTCTGGAGAGCTCTGATGAAAGCCCGTTACAAGGCCGCCATCGCCGCAGGGCAGGCCACACCACCAGACGAGGTTTCGCATCTCGAGTCTCCAGTCGATGGTCGTCCGGACTTTGACCCTTTACTCCCTCCGTCTTACGCGGGGAACCTGGTCATTGTGAACAAAGTCCCTATGCCAGTGGTAGAGCTGGCTGCTGAGGCGACGAGTCTCCGCGACGTCGCTCTTCGCATCAGAGCTCAAGCGGCTAAAGTGAACCCAGATTTGGTCAAAGACGCATTCACACTTATGCGCGAAGTTCCAGATTATACAAAGTTGAAACACGCTTTTACGCGGCTTGACGGATTCGATGTTATGATTACGTCGGTACTGTTGTTACCGCTAGATAAGATCAATTTCGGGGCGGACATTTTTGAGAATGATGGAAAGCCCGAGTCATTACGGCCGTTGATGGATGCGTTTAATGCGAACTTCAGACTATGCATGGTGCTGCCAATGAAGACCTACGGCGGTATTGAGCTGCTTGTTAGTTTGTTTGCTGATGAAATGGAGCAGCTCTTGGGGGATGAGGAGTTTACGAGATATGCGGCTTTTTGTTGTCATTGACTTTTTTTGTTGGGGTTTCACATGGATAATTCTCAGTGTAATGCGCAACCCCTGTCTACCTCATCGTCCTGTTTAACTTTCTTGTCTGCAGGTTACTAGGGTAGACCACAATATAAATTCCTTGTGAGCCAAAAGTCGAAGTCGGCCGCATATACAACGGGATGGGCTAGGATCCCATTGAGCAACTGTGCAAAGCCAAACGTGGTCTCATCAGTACAGCGAATGTTTAACCTCGAAGCAGTAAAACGGTCGCATCCTCACACCGCCTCGCCAGTTCACGCCTTAATCACTGGTTTGCCATGTAACGCCTATCGGGTCAACTTTGATTGACCTAGCGCACGCAACTGCTGACTCGTAGACTAACACTCTCGAACCATGCCCCAATTTCCGTCGGAGCTCAGCTTAAGCTCACCGGCGCGACCAAGGAGGGAAATTTCAACAAACTTCCTTTCTTGGACTCTCCGTTAAGCCTAGGTTCTCTTTAGTCTACGCATGTATTTACAGCAGCCCGCCTATTTTGCCACATTTACGTGGGACTGTTAGACAGCCCTCGCATCTCCATGCCTTGTATTCATGAACACCAACGACTACTTTGGCTCAATCAACTCCCCCCGAAGGATTGAAAAGCCTTGGGTTACATGATCTCATCAACATCGGCGGCAATGTTGCCATTGATATTGACTCTCACAGCAGCTGTTACATGCACGCTTCTTCTTAAATTAATATGGAGAGCATACACGACCAGGAGGAAGTTCAGACAGGTGCGTGCGCAAGGCATTGTGAGTACCGAACGACCAACATTCATCTGCAAAGGGGTTAACAATTAGCCTCAGCCCATGCTACCGCACTCCTGGATAACGGGACACTTGGGTGTCATGTTCGAATTCCGCAAAGAGTACCCGAAAGACATCAACATTGGCAATTTCCATCCATGGATCATTAACAACTACAAGAGATACTTTCCAGATTTGGATCACTGCCCACCGGTGATCTACCTCGATCTTTGGCCTATCATGAGGTCGCCTATCGTAGCTGCTTATAAGAATACAGTAGCGGCGCAGTTTACTCAAACTAAAAACCTCGACAAGCATCAGACTTCACTAGACTTCATGAATCCCCTAACTAAGGGGAAAGATATTGCCACCCTGCAAGGTGATGAGTGGAAGAAGTGGCGGTCCTGTTTTAACCCAGGGTTTAGCTCTAGGAACGTCTCTACGATAGTCCCGGAACTCATAGAAGAGATTAAGGTCTTCGCGGGGAACCTGCGTCAAAGGGTTGGGCCGAACGGGTCTTGGGGGCCGATGTTTCAGTTCCGTAACATGACGACAGCTCTTACCTTTGACATCATCGTCCGAGCAGTGTTGTAAGCCGGCACCATCGCGCAACTCAGCTGCGGACTTCATTACTGACACTTTCAAGGGACGAACGTCTGCATGAGCAAACAAACCCTATCGGCGGCCCCCTAAGAATCGCCCTCGCAGACCAATTACGTTTAATGGGCATTAGACAAGCTTTCAGCTTTGGTTACCTGTTTCCCTGGCAACAGAAGGCCGTCGACCATAACAACGAGATCATCCACAATCAACTCTACCCCAGCATTATGCGCTCCCTCGAGTCTGGTTTAAAGCCTTCCAAGAAAAAGACGGTTCTAAACCTTGCTCTAATGCACCTCTCAGACGAAGCGGATGCGCGCGCGGTAAACCCAGCCACAGACCCAGACATGATAGAGACTATCATAAGTAACCTCAAGACCTTCCTCGTTGCCGGCCATGAGACGACGGCGAGTGCCTTGTGCTTTATGTTCAAGGTTCTCCAGGACAACCCGGGTAGCTTGGCCAAGGTCCGCGCTGAGCATGACGAGATACTCGGCCCGGACGCGGAGAAGGCTGCCGATATTCTGAGCAACTCTCCACAGTTACTTAACTCGTTGAGATATACCCAGGCGGTAATTAAGGAGACGCTACGGCTATACCAGCTTGCCTCCACGATGCGGGGCGGAGAGCCAGGGTTCTATTTAACCGACCCCGACTCCGGGAGACAAAATTCAACTGAGGGCTTTCTGGTCTGGGATGGAGGTCCCGGTATGCAGCACGACCCATCGTTGTGGCCTGATGTGGACAAGTTTTTGCCGGACAGGTGGCTGGTATCTGCGGAGGATCGACTACACCCTGTCAAAGATACCTGGCGTGCTTTTGCAAGAGGCCCTCGAGACTGCATCGGTCAAGAGGTCGCATTGGTAGAGATCAAACTAGTTGCAGCTCTTATATTGCGTGAGTTCGATATCGAGGAAGCCTGGGACGAATGGGACGATTATAAGTGAGTTAGTACTTCACCCCGGTATAGTGCAGACTGCTAACAGCTTTCCATTTCTCAGGGGGTTGAAAGGCCCTAAGGATATGGTAAAAGGCCAGCGCTTGTACGTCGCTGGAGACGGGATCGGCCACCCCAAAGATGGCATGCCAGTCCACGTACGCCTCAGACAGAAGTGACAAGACTTTCACGATCGCAAGGCTTGTTCCAAGAGCGCAGAGACATGGACATGGCTGTTAGAGGGGGAAAATTCGGCAGAGAGCTTCTGAATTCGAGGAGTTTCTAACGTTTATCTCATGGAAGAACTGTAAGCAGCTTCTTCCTGGCATGTACGATGCATTGGCGACCCGGAGTAAAATTACAGGTCTATGACCAGTAATTTAAATTGTGATCAAAACAGACCATAGCGGGTTGATCTACGATCAAGCACCAAATGAATGTGTTCTTATCCGTTGTGAAATAGGAAAATAGCCTGCATTTATTCTATACAATAAGAGGCAGTGAAAAGGGGGTCTCGTCCACCCGCCTGGGTGCCCTCACCCCCAATGTCGGCGGAATATTCTCAGAGATCTTTTGAACCAAAGTGTTTGATCTCACACCCTAGTAATCTCAGCAACGGAAATGGTATCGCGGTGCAACAGCGGAGCCCGCCAGGGTCTGCCATCCGGCCGAACGCCGTTCGAGAGGCTAGCGACCGCCTCCGGGCTCTTCTCGGGGAGATCACCCGGGAGCTCTGGGCCTGTGGTACTTCACGTGTTGGTTGTTTTAGCTGTTATATTCCAACTAAAGGTACTTCTCCCTCTGCCCGTGTTTACTCTCCTGTGACAAGAACTACTACACGCAACCCCCTTGAAGACATAAAGCATAACTGTGCTTTCCCCTTATCTCCACTCCTCCAGTCTACGGAGAAGCTGTCTCGGGAACCCACTAGCCCGCCCAGCTGCATCTCCGGCCTCAAGTTCCAAGTCCTCTCGAGTTTTCTCAAGTAGGCCGGCCACATGCATAAGCACCGCAAGATTGTCCATCCTCCATCTTGTCAGGCGCCCAGAAGGGGGGGGGGCACCGGCGCAGCACTAGTGGGGTCGTCGGCAGGGTAGCTGGGGCCGCATTGGCACATAGTCAAGGGATTATTAAGGGATTTTAGCTAAGCAGCTAACATAGACTTTAATAATAAAAGTTAGCTATTAATATTACCGTTAAAGAAAAGCAATAGTATAATGCTATTAGATTAGTGTTAACGTACATGCATAGTGAGTCGCCCATCAGAGTGAGTCGCCCACGTTCTTATCGTAGATAAAAACCCTATTTTACAACTATTTATTAAAAATCCATTTTAACCTGAATATACAACAGAATTTCTGCTCTAGTGTCCGATAAGAGTTAGATTATAAGGAATAATATTTTAGAAATTCTTACTCTACTTATAATAGTGTCTTTGTAACAGAACGCTGACAGTGATGCTCTGTGGCAAGGACCTTTAGACTCCGCGACCATGACCAATTGACCCAAAAGACCCAAAAGATCCGTCAGTGCTTGCACGCGTACAAGCCCTGCTGTCAACACTGCTTATATGCCCTTGTGACGTACAACCATCTGGCTAAGGGAGTTGTGCTGTTACAGTCTTACATAAACTAGCTTATCTAGCTCTCATGATAAGAGATCTAGGTATAAGGTTAAAAGTAAAATTCTTAAAGTATTATTTCCTATAATTTAACGCTTATCAAATACTAAAACAGAAATCCTATTGTATTTTTAGCTTAAAATGGATTTTTAATAAATAGTTGTAAAATAGGGTTTTTATATACGATAAGAACGTGGGCGACTCACTCTGATGGGCGACTCACTATGCATATACGTTATAGCTAAGGGAACTAGGCTTGGTTAAGGGGGGAGGGGGGGACCCAGGGTGCATATAAGGAATAGCTGTAGCGGACCTTGGGGAAAAGGCAGATTGGAATAACAGTCAAAACCTACCCCTACCTGTGCCCATCGTCGACCTCGTTACTCTGTACGACTCTAGCCTCTGACAGTCTTCCACACCACGCCCGTATTTCAAGAGAGCTATCAGCCAGTTCACATCGCGAAAATCTCCCAAGGCTTGCTTTTGCTGCGGTGCTCTAATTTAACGAACAGAAGCGGCTGTGCAGTCTTTTAGCCCGCTCGGGTCTGTAGAGGAATGAGGACGCTCCTATCTACCCTCGAAAAGAAGATCATGAGGATTGGAAACGGCGCACCGATACCCAGGGGCTGAGTTTCGAGTATCGAACTGCAAGAGAGAGCGTTGGGGCAAACGACTCACAAGCCGAACGAATCGCAGGACAGATCAACGCTATCCGGGATCAGCGGAGTGAGCTCACCATAGAATGGGACCGCAAGGCCTATTCAAAACCGTGGATAGGTTGAGAGCCGCCGGTGATCCGACACCCCACAACTTGGTGTGGAACAACGACATTCTCCGAACTCTTCGAAAGCACGCCAAAGGCCAGCCTCCTGCCGAGTTTTGCTAACCCCCACTGAGCGCTCATCCAAAGTGGAATGAGTGCTCAATCTCAGTATCCGCTGCGACCGCTTATTCCATATTCCTTATCAGTGCTCATTCCTTATCGTCACGTAATCTGTATCATAGCTCTTCCTTCCCCGAGTGAGTCTTGCATGATGCCAAGCCGCAAGTAGGTAGGTTATTCTGCATATATAATGGCCGTTCCCGCTTCCGCAGCAAACCTGCATGGTACTTCCCTCCACTTCCCCCCCCCCACTTCCCGCACTCTCACCAAACAAAGATCCTACCAACTGATCCGTCACATTATATCAATTAACATGCCGCTTCGCGAGACCGACCCGGATTTCGAGAGTGAGATCTTCGAAACGGTCAAGGCAGCAATCGAGGCAAAGTTTGGGAATTCCGAATATGATCTCCCGCTGCCGCTCCTTCTCGTCGACGAATACGCGGAAAAGCCACTGCCGTGCCATGAACCGGCCGAGGAGACCATGGCCATCAGCGCCCACATGTCGGTGCGCATCCGTGCCTTTTACAAGCAGATTGCCGCCGCCTATAACGAGGTCGAGGAACCGCCAGCCAGCATCGGCATCAAGATCGAAATCCAGCCACAGAACTTTGAGCCAGAGGAGCCAGCATGCCACCATCGCAGGTACCACTCGCGTCGCCTGCAACTGCACGACCCCGAGACACTGCCCGATCTTCCCTTTGTGAGCAGCCTGGCCATCAGGTCAAGGGCGTACGGCTCGGGCGCCGAAAACGCAACAGACATACGCCCTCTGTCTCCTCTCGTGCCGCTGCAGTGCCTTGTCCACCTGCCGGCTGTCCAAGAGTGGAATGCCCGCTGGTTGTGGGAGCGGCCCATGCCCTCTTCCATGCCGAGCAGGGTGATGCGCGAGCACTACACCTGGCCGTGGGAGGGCCCCCTACGAGACGCCCGCCACGAGTTCGGCGCCGCCATCATGGACCAGGAGAAGCACCTCTGCGGGAAAAGGATTCCCGCGAGTCTGACCAGGGCCGCACTGCACTTCTGGCCATTTTTCTCGCGACCTAAGCACGACCAGACTGTAGCCCGGCCGAACCTGATCCATCCGGCGGATAAGGACCCCGTGTCTGTCGGCCTGTGCAAGCTCGGTGCGCAGCTAAGACTGTTCGACGTGCGTGCTGTCGTCACTCCGGACTTGTTTCCCAGTCACGAGGCACAAACCGACCAGCAGTGGTCACAGATGCGGCGATTCCGGCTCGAGTTCCATTCCCTCCGTCCAGACGGGCGGTGGTACTTTGTCGGCCCCGGTGGTGAGGATCCGCACGACTCGGAACAAGGAGGGTACAAGATCTCAGACACAGAACACTACCCCCGCGAAACCGACACGGACGAGGATATAGATCTCGACGTCGAGTACGGCGACAACCCGGACGACCAGTACGATTACGATCTGGACATGTTCCGCACCGAGCCCTGCAGGGAGCGGATCGAGCCCCTGCTTGCGGCGTTTGCCAAATCTCTGACTCGCGACAATATGCCGAGTCTCGAGGACGCCGAGATGTTCACGTACCTGTGGTGGGACCCTTCAGACGACAGAGAAGTGGAGGAATACGGTTTGCCGATGAGGAAGGGCCACAGATGGGGTATCAAGTTCATTGCCGGGCGTGGTGATGAGAAGAAGAGGAAGAAAGACGGCGATGCTGCTGCTGCTGCTGGTGTGGCACCAACACCGCCGGTGGTGCAGTGGCAGGTTGGCGACTGGAGACCCAGCGCGGAGGTCATGAGTCTGTTCGAAAGCCTGGGACGCCAGGAGTGGCTCGATCTTGAGTGGGAGAAGTATAGACCTACTTCGGGGCACGACTTGCTGGGAAATGGCGAGTCTTTGGCCATATAGTCGGGCGGGCTACCAGACCAATCCTTTGTTGGGGATTCGAGAAGACGTGGTCTGATACCTTTCTTTTTTAGAAATGCCCGGTTGAATATGCGATCGCAGCAGCGGGGGGGGGACGTATGCTCATCATCATCGAGGAGGCATCCCGAAGAATTTTGCATATGGGTCATTTCAGCAGATTCTCAAGATGAATTGTATCAGTTGGGAGATGGCAGCGAAAAGAATACAAGTCAGACAATTGCATGTTATCCAACCAAGCGGCCAATCCATACGCTCTCCAACTGCTGCTGCTAGTGGAAGTCCAACAAGAAGAAAGGGAAGGAACCGAAGTATGATGGCTGGGTATATAATCACGCTGTCTGCGGGGCAACAAGTCAAAATTCTCGGAGGATTGGGGGGTAGAGGATATTGCTAATAAAGGGATTGTCATCTCCCCAGTCCGGGTCTGAGGAATTTGTTGTTTGTACATTTAATTAGCAGAAAGAGGCTAGTTATTAGTGCATTGGTCACTTTTGATACTGCTAACCACCCCCAAGTCTCCTCACGCGCCATGAGAATTGACGAGGAATTTACAACCTCAGTTACAAAACAAAATAATATACTTTACACTACTTTCTTTTCTTAGCCTGAAGAACGTCTATCCTGGAAAATACATCCTTAAAGACAACATCCTCACATATGTTAGGGTATCTTCTCCCCCCTCCCAAACCCCCGCGAAACTATAGATTCCCTATCTCGGCGGAGCAATCAAATCATATGACAGGTCCTGATGGTTGTTTCTAGCTGGAAACGCCAACACAGTACGCCTGGTCAAGCCAGAAGTTTGTTACACAGTCCCTGCTCACAGCCGGGTTCCAGTTGTAAAAGTGGTCGACTGATATCCCGTTGTCACTCGCCATAGAGCCGCAGCTATCTCCATCTTGGACGACATCCCACTTGTTACAGTTGGCCGGCTGGCCGGTATGCGTCGGCGCGGGAGGAGTTAGCTTCGCTGTCGTTGACAGCGACGACGTCGTGGTAGGGGTATTACCCCCGACGCTAGATCGTCCGACGCAGTATGCCTGACCCAGCCAAAAGTTTGTCACGCAGTCCTTAGATACCGCCGGGTTCCAAGCGTAGAACTGGTCCACGGTAATACCGTTGTCCGCGGCCATGGACCCGCAGCTGTCACCGTCTACCACAACGTCCCACTTGTTGCAGTCTGACGGCTGGCCTGTGTGTGTCGGCGCGGGAGGGGTCGGGGCTGCTGCGGTTGTGGAGGAGGTAGAGGGTCTCGTTGTCGTGACGCCGGAGCCAGCCCCTGATACGCCGACACAGTATGCCTGCCCCAGCCAAAGGTTTTTCACGCAGTCCTTGGATACCGCCGGGTTCCAAGCGTAGAACTGGTCCACAGTAATACCGTTGTCCGCGGCCATGGACCCGCAGCTGTCGCCGTCTACCACGATGTCCCACTTGTTACAGTCGGCAGGTTGGCCGGTGTGCGTGGGAGCAGGCGGGGTCGGCTTCATTGTTGCCGCGCTACTGGTGGCCGTGGCGGAAGAAGACGAGATACTAATCCCTTGGCCTTGCCTGTGAGTACAGTACGCCTGTCCGACCCAGAAGTTCACGGTACAGTCAACGCTGACAGCAGGGTTCCACTCGAGGAACGTCGCGAGAGAAATTCCGACGTTGTCGGCGACGGATCGACACGAGTCACTGTCGGACACGACGTGCCAGCCGTTACAGTCTTCCGGCTGGCCGTCGTGCGTGGCTACTGGCGGCTGGGGCCCGTTCCCGGTTCCGGTGGGCTCAGGCTCCTCGGTGGTGGTCGGTGTGGGTGGCAGACCCCAGGAGCCGCAGTACTGCAGGCCGACCTGGAAAACGCATGCCGAGTCCGTGACGTTTGTCGCAAGCGAGTTCCAGGCGACGAAGCTGTCAAAGTCGACGTTGTAGTTGGACGCTGCAATCTCGCAGTTGCTGTTCCAGAAGCCGAACACGTCAGACGAGTACTGGTACTCGTCGCCCTTGAAGTAAAAGTAGCAGTCGTCGCGAACGCCGGTGGCCAACGGGAGCTGGGTCGGTCTCGGATCCAGAGTCATGGTGGCGTTGGGCAGCATGGTGAAGGGGACGCCGGTGAAGGTGGCGCTGGGGTCAATGGTGAAGGAGACATGTCCAGGCCGGCCGGGGTAAGTGTTGATATCCCCGACAGCCTGCACACAGTAACTTTCGGCGGCGAAGAGGTTTGTGCAGTTTGAGTTGATGCCAGTGTTCAAGAACAAAAAGTCTGGAAGCGAAATGGCAAACTTGAGGGTTAGCATGTTGCAGTAGTCGCCAGCCTCGACCTCGTACCAGCGGCCGCAGGGCTTGTCAGATCCAATGGCAGTATTGGAGGGGATCGGAGCAGCGGTGGTAGGCGTCGAGGGAGGGATGCCCGTTGTCACTGCCGGGGGCAGCTTGGGTCCGGGAGGTTCGATGCAGAGGGTGGTGCCATTCATCATGTCGAGGTTGGAACAGACCGGGTTGATGACAGAATTCCAAGCCAGAAGCTGCATCTCGCTGATGTTGGCAGACGCGGCTATTGCTTAACAGGTCGTGTTAACTGCCACCGTGACAGTTTTGCACGTATTGGTTATGCACAGACTACCCGAAGTTGGGAACTCGGAACAATAAGCACCGAGGTGGTTGTCAGACAGCATCCAGGCTGTACCGACACTCTGAGCCTTAGAGATGCTGTAGCAATCATCACCGTCCTGGATTTGGTACATGTTGCCGTCGCAGACTGACTCGGTGGGCTTTGGTTGGCTGGTAAAGTAGTCGATCGTGGATGTGGTGGCGGGCTGGCCAGAGATGCCGCACCTGGACGTCATGCTCTGGTATATGGACTCGCTGGCCACGACGGGGCCGTCAAAGTAAGGCGACCCGGATCGCAGGCGCACTCTGGCTGCGAGACACGGGTCACAATCCGCTGGCTTAACGGCGCCCTCGGGAAGTTCGTTGATGTAGTTGAAGACGGAAACTGCGGCAAGCTGTTAGTAAAAAATGTGCTAGCAAGTCCAAAATTGGCCATCACATCGTGTCAAAGCTCGTTCATTCGCGGAGCAGGAGACTCACCTCCAGGATCGGTGAAGAAAGCTGCCAATGCCGCAACGGGGCCGCAAAAGACATCGTTCTCCTTGAGACACGTGAAGCTATAGATGTACCGGCGGGTGGCCGGGAGCACAATGGGCGATACGTCAAGGTCATATTCGCCAGGAATGACAATATCGTTGCCACAGCCAGACCGGACCGAGCTCTCCCACGACTGGCGCGCAGAAGCGCAGCCATCAGTACACATGCGGGTCAGCGTTGCAGGAGGGTAGTAGAAGTCATGGCGGAGGGCCGGCACGAGAGGATCGCAAGCGATGTCAGACATGAGGGCCGCAGAACATGCCGCATTGAGATCCTCAGGAAGACTGTCGTCGTAGAGCATCTTGATGGCGAGCACTGGGCTAAGAAGGCTCAGAAGGGCCCCAAGCCCGGCGACACAACGCCGCAGGACTACCATTGTGATGAACGGTCTTGACCTTTCTCACCGGGGACAAAAGAGTGAACAGTGGATGGGGCTAAGACATCCGATGGGGGGAGAGGAAGGGAGAGTAAGTGTCTATTCAGACACAGGGAGGAACAGGCGGCTACAGAGAGATATTATCCTCACCGCTTTCCCCTTTCTCTAGGCTAAATAAGCTTTATTTCCCCTCACTTCCATCTATATTATCATTTCTTATTAGATTATTATAAATAATTACTATAATTACTTATACCTTTATAATAAGTGATTAGTAAAGTAAAGAAGGGCTTTTTATTGATATAGAGGGCTCTATTATTATTTAACTAATTACCTTAGCTTTTACTGCTAATAAACGAAAAGACCTATTATGTTAGTTAGGAAGAAAGCTAGTAAAGAAGCGATAGCTTAATGAAGAGGTTACTTAAGACGTTACTAAAGTCTATAATAAAGATAATAATAAAGAATATAATAAAGTTAATAATGAATTTTTAAGTAGTATATTATCTTTTTTTTAAAGATTTATTTAGTTAATAAATACTAATATATTCTTATATTATTTAGACTTTAGAGCTTATTTATTGCTTTATAGAGAAGCTTTTTGATTTATATTGTAATAAAAACCTTAATATTAATAAGGTTATTATAAGAAAACTAGTCTTTAAAGATCTTATAGTATAAATTAATATTAAGGGCTAGTTTATTAGTTTTATAACTAGTAAATAGATAAAAAATAAGTATAATAGTAAGAAAAAGAGGTTTTTTATTTAGATATTTATTATTTATAAGTTAAGTAATATGTTTAATAAAGATAGTGGAAAGGTTTCTTGTAGTAATAAGGTAAGAGAGAACTTTTTAATTACTTACTTAAAGTATAAGTAGGTTTTTAAAAAAGGGTTAGGACTACTAGATCTATATGAAGAGATATAAGGTATAAACACTAGGAAGGGTAGTGTTATATTATTAGTTAATAAGGTTATATATAGCTAGGAGATTAACTTTAAGGCAAATAAGAATAAGGAAGATAATAAAAATAATAATAATAACTTAAGGGATATATAAGAAAGTTAGTCTCTTTATATATTATTATAGTTATTTATATTATTTCTTAATACTTTTATATTTTTATAAAACTAGTAATCTAATAAATAATTCTAGTAATAGTATATTTTTATTAGTAATAGTAAATTACTAAAAAAAAGACTTATTATTACTAAAGTTAATATTTATATTAGTAAATTAATATAAGAGCTTAAGAATAAATATTTTAGTAGTAAAAAAGAGGTATTAGAGTTAAAGCTATAAGAAAAGGAAAGAGAAAAAAGGTAACTATTATAAGAAGAAGCTAAGGTTAATAAGGTAATAGAAGACCTTATAAGGTTTAAAAAAGATTTTAATTATGATGTTTATTTAGTTGTTTTAAATTAATTAATAATAAAGGAAAAGAAACTAGTAGTTTTAAGAGTAAAGTATTAGAATTTATTACTAAGTAATAAGTTAAAGAAGGCGTATTATATAGAGGTTTATAGGTAAGAAGTTAGGTACTAGTAGTAAGATCTTTTTATTTGTAATAATTTTTTATAGTAATCCTTAGTATTAGTCTACTTATAGAAATGTCTTTTAAGTAGTATTCTTGTTTCTTTCTGTAGTATCTATTTTAATTATTAAACTGTGGTTTTTTTCCTAAAGCCTTATTAGACTATGGTTCTTTTTTTGAAGCCTTTTGTGGTACTGCTTAAGTGTAAGCTTTTGTGTAGTAGTTAGGCTAGTTTTTTTTTTTTTTTTTATTTAAACTAGAACTAGAACTAGATGGCTCTTGTCTAAGAGATTAAAAGGACTTTGGAGGAGGTTGATAATAGTACTAGTCTTTGTTTATTAGTTTTATAGTAAAAAGAATAGACTTAATATAGTCTATATTCTTCTTTATAATAGTAACTCTTTTAATATAAATAGTAGTTAATTAGATAGCTAGAAAGATATAAGTTAGTTATTATAGTAATTAATTATAGTAATTATATACCTTTAAATATAGCTATAAGATAAGTCTTAGTAGCCTTTTAGAGTGTGAGAATAGTTGTTTTTTGAAAGTGAAGGTTATTTTACTAAGAATTAAGAAGTAAAATTCTTATAATTCTTATATATAAATCTCTTTATAACTCTATAACTAAAAGTCCTATAAATATATAGTTATTTTTTCTAGATTCTTCTTAAAAAATAACTTATAAAAGTATATATTACTATATATAACTATACTAATACAAACTACTACAAACTAATGTAGTCTACTGCATATAAACGCATATACTTCTAAGCATTACATATATCAGCGCTTATACTTATCTATAGGCATATATAGGTATATATATATATATATATAAGAAACTATAAGTACCTCTTAGCGCTTAGATATACGCTTAGATATACACTTAGATACTATATGTATTTAAGGGACTTTCTATATAACTAAGAGATATTTTTTCTACTTAGACAGTTTTATAAGTATAAAAAAGATATAATAAAACCTTAACAGTTAATATATATATACCTTTTCTGTTTACCTTTATTTTTTTTTATTTTTTTTTATAACTATTATAAATAACTTCCTGTTATTCTTACTAGTTATAAGCCTAGCTTAGTAGAGAAGGTAACCTTTATACCTTTACTTTTTTTTATACTTTTAACTTCCTTTATACTTATACCCTTATTTTATATAATAAAAATTTAATTTTACTAAGGGATGTATTATATTAGCTAAGGGAATTTTAAGGAATATAGCTCTAAGGTAGCTACACTTTATACCTAGCAGTCTATATTCAGCAGAATAGAGGGACCGGCTTACTAAGTAAGCACTACACCTATCGCTATATTTTATGCTACTATAGCTCTGGGTAAATTATAATCCTACTTTACCGGTTAAAGGTTATTTCTAGTCTATATCTAATAAAGACTGTATACCTTAAGCTGGAATTGAACCTAAGAGCTCTAATTGAGTTGCTAATTTAATTAGTTAATCTAGAGGATGGCTAAACTACTAGACTAACTGCTTTGCCGTCTGGTGAAAGCTTCTTCAATTGAAGGCCCATATATATCTTCAACCTAAGGCAACCACGCAACACTATACTATTAATAACAACACTATAACAACCCAACTACTTTTAAGGCCCATTTTTCAAGACGAATTCAACGGTACTATCAGAATACTGATATCTCTCTCTAATCAGCCAAAATCAACTAAAATCCTTATATTCTAATTAAATTTAAACTAAATTAATACTATAGAAAAAATCTATATACCACGCCTTTCTAGTAGCCTTAACTATAATGTGTAGGTAACTAGATTTAAGGCTTTACTTATTAATAAAGATATTAACTTTAGTCTTATAACCTCTTTAATTATATCTTCTTAATAAAAGAGTAATATAAAAGTATTAGCTTTTATAAAGCTATTTTATAAGGATTCCTTTTTAAGGGTTATAAAAGACTTTATAATAGGATATGAGGTTTAGAAGAAACTAAAGGATTTATATAAACCTACTGGTTTTATTAACAAATATCTTAATTATAAAAAGTTCTTTAATACCTCTTTAGAATCCTTTAGATCTATAGAAGAATACCTTAATAAGGTAAAAGAGCTTATAGATAACCTATCTTCTAAAGATATAGCTTTACTAAAATAAGTTATTATAGCTTAAGTATTAAATAGTTTAGATAATAGTTATAAAGGTTTTATAATTAACATAACTTAAGCCTTTAGAAAGAATACAAATTCCTATACTATAAAATCCCTTTTTATAAATCTTATAGATAAAGCAAAAAGAAAAGGTTTTTCTATAGTATTATATACTTTTACTTTTAGAAAAGGAATTAAAAAGCCTTAGAAAAAGACGAAGAGTGTTTACTATACATACTGTAAGTTAAAAAATCATATAGTTAAAGACTATAACTTTCTATATCCTATTAAGGCCTCTAAAGGCTAGAAAAATAAGGATAATACTAAGGAAGAAGTCTTAAGGTAACAAAGGACTAATATAAAAAGAAATAAGCTCTATAGGGCCTAAAAGGCCTTAATAGCTAAAAAAGCTATAATAGAGGAAGAAGATTCAGAAGAATCAGATAAATTAGATATAAAAAATGCGTATATTATAGTTGTAGATAATATGGTTATAGATAACCCTTAATAAGAGGAAGAGAGTGAGATAGACTTAGATTTTGAAAATGTAAGTTATATAACCTCCTTTATAATAACTATAACTAATAATAAAATAGGTAATATAAATAAACCTATATATATAACTAGGAATAATAAATATATTATGTTCTGTCTAGATACTGCTGTTACTGTTAATATTATAAGTGATAAATCTCTATTTATAAAGATTACCTATATAAACAGGTATGTTAACTAGGGAGATGTAGGAAGAAAGAAAATCTCCTTATAAGGAGATATAGTAATTTCTTTTTTTAATAATAATAATATATATATCCTTAAAGACTGTTATTATATGCCTAAAATAGGTATTAATCTTTTAAGTTAAAATAGACTAAGAAGACTTAAGATAGCTTCCCTTTTCTGGGATATAAAGGTATCTTTAATAAATATAAATAATAAAAGAACCTTTTATAAAGGGGAAATAAAAGACAGTTTATATTACCTAAATATAAAGGTTTTAAATAAAAAGGATCTTAATAACTATAAAGAATATATAAATATTATAAATATAAGAAGAAAACCTTATAAATATAAGAAGGTTATATATAATAAAGAGATTAATAACTATAAAAAGTAGTATAATAGACCAGGACATATAAATAGAAAAGTCTTAATGTAACTTAAAGATAATACAAATATAACTAATAATATAATAGAAGAAGACTATACTTATAATACCTATATAAAAGTAAACTTTACTATTAAAGTTAATAAGTATTCTGATAACTATAATAAGGATTATAAATATATGGAAAAAGTCTCTTTTGATCTCTATGGACCTATATTACCT